TTTTGCACAGATTAGCCATAATATTACTTAATTAATTTACACCACAAAGTAAGATTCAAGCCACTGTTTCGGTCATGTAAACATAGAAACATGTGGGTCAGTTTGTCCCATCTAAATAGTTTGCAAAATCTTCTGAAATATGTGATAAGGAATTCTAAAAATAGATGCAGCAGAGATTCTGTACCTGTGCTATAAACAGATAAGACGCAGCTCTCTGCTGAGTCAGTGAGTGAACATTTAAAATATGTCAGTTTCAATTAAACAATGATGCAGATTTCTTTTACCTAGGTATAATGTAGGGTATTAATGTGATAGGACCTTCGCAAACTAATTTAAAAGCCCTCAGGTGAGGTCAGATAATTATAGGTTCATGAGGAAAAAAAAAGAATTATGTATTGTTTTTGGAAAATTTTGTGACCGAATTAGATTAATTGCATCAAAATCAGATGCAGAGAACTGCACTCAGTGATCTGTTTTGGTTTCCCCGACAATTTAAATTCTGTGTCAGCGAGAGTTTTTATCAGCCAATGAGCGTGTCAGCAGCAGACTCTATACATCACTGATCACCTGTCTGTATACAGCGCATATCTGATATCAGACAGGCAGGCCAGTTTATCAAAATTTAGCCTGGTTCCCTGTCCCTGTTTTGCTTCGTGTACTCCTGCCTTGGAAAGTATGAGCCTGGGGACCAGGCTAATCAAAGTTAACGTGATTTGCCGCTAGATGGCGATCGCAAATTCCCTTCCGCCTCAGATGAGCGGTACCAATAGAGCGGAGGCTAAGCCTCCGTCTAAAAATGTAATGAAGCTGTAGACAAGGTGTTTTCTGATAGCATATTGAACCTATATACTCTGGATAAATTTTACTTACATACATATTTATACCATTTTTAGAATACATCTGAGACAGGGTATATCGTAAAAAATATTGCAAAGGAAAACTGTCTTCCTTCTTCTTTGAGATCTGCTCCACCACTCTCAAATATACATCGCGATCGCGTCGATCACACGTAAACATTGATTCATCGGTACATACTGCTTAAACTGTTGTTAAATTGTTTGTACAAATGTTGAAACTAGACATACATCTTCCACGTTTTTACAAATCTAACAAGAATGTGTAAGAACGATAGTCACGATTATTTGTATTTTCTATAAATAAAAATAGGAGAGATAACTCTGATGTCAACAATCGATGTAAGAGGGGTGCCAGACAGGGACATTCATTGTAAATTTTAATTGCGTACTTTTTTCACATTTCAGCTGCATGTTCGCATGAATTTTCACCTGGATTATAATAGAGACATTTTATGACCAAATAAAAAAACTTTTAATCGTCATCATAATTATGAATTTTTAAATAAAAAAATGTTGTTATGGAAATAAGGTTAAAATAGAAAAAAGAAAAACAAAGAAGAAAAAAAAAGAAAACTGCAAAATTGAACAGACTTTAATTTTTTTTTCAAGTCTTTTATCTTTAGCTTTTTTTGCATGAAATAATTTCATGACGAATTTCATTATTTATTAAAAAATAATAAACATGTAAAGCGTCTACCTTATAATCATGATTAAATAAATTAAAATTTTAAAATGTTGTTTTGTCTTATATTTTTGTTGCACAAAGACACTTCAATTTAGAGAAATTAAAACAAGCAAAAAACACCCGAATGAAAAAAAAATGTTCTTAATGTTCTAACTTTAATAGAGCTGGTCACTAAAATCTGAGAGAGAGAGAGAGAGAGAGAGAGAGAGAGGATGTAGGGTAGATAAAAATATTTATATTGAATCTATTTATCTAATATTGAGAAATGTTAAACTCTGTTGAAAAAGATGAGTTTTCAAAAATAATGAAATAATAAATGAAAGAAAATATCATTTTTGTTCTCTAAACTATATATACATGTATAGCTATTTATTTTCAAGATCTCCAAATTTGATAAACATGTAACTCTTTGGTACTTACGTGTTGTTGTTTTTTTTTCTCACGGAGTTCAAATGTTTTAAGCATTATCTGCAAATTAATTCTTCAAGCCCTGACGAACTTTGTCTTTCATAAAAGCTTAATCAGCATTGAATGAGGGAGTGTCTCTTAACAGATCAATTATCATGCTAAAAACCCAATCATCACTGAACTTATAATCTCATTGCAGTTATCAGTGTGGAATAATATATTGTTTAACCTGCCATCAAATTATGGATTAATATTATTAAATATGCTCAAATATGATTTTATTTGTTTTGGTTGATAAAAAAATTCTTATAAGTTCAGGGTCGGGTTTTATTTCTACATGTAAATGCTAACAGAAAATAAAATTAAATGCTGAAAATACATTACATAAAACCGCAACAATATGCTTGCATTTTGTTTTATTTTGGCCACAGTGCAGGGGATGGGGTTGGGGGTGTCCTTATATATTTCCGTAACATGTAGGCTTTACAAGGCTTAGCATATCCAAGCTTCTGGCAACAGGTACGTAGCATCGTTTTTGAAAGGGGGGGGGGGGCAGCCGGAGAATTTTTTATTTTACTTCCCTGAAAAAGTTGACAAGCAAAAAAAGGGTTAATGTTGCACAAAGTCGAAAATCCTATTTCATGGGGAGGGGGGGGGGGGGGGTTAGAAGCCAACTTTTTCCGTACATCACTGATAGTGGGGGGGGGGGCAGACTTTCAATTATCAATACCTATAGTATAAGTAAGGTTGGGAAAAAGGTGAAGGGCCAGGCCCCCCTGTTGTTACGTCCCTGGGCACGGGACCAGAATGGAATTCATACTCTTTAAAACTCACTTTATAGAATAAAATTAGAAAACAACATTAGAATGAAGGGGATTTTTTTTTAATTAGGTCATAAATAATATGATGATTTTCTAAGATGTTTACAAAAATCTGACATTTCGAAGCTCAGCCAGTTCACAGACAATTGTCAGGAAATATATTATAAAAAACAGTCATATTCAACTGACTGTATATTTAAGCATAAACAATTACATGTTATTAATCTTAACCCACCCCTACCCCAACAAAAGCTATACATGTACATATAAACCTTTAATTTAATTCTATGGGTGTACTTCTAAAACCATCCATTTCATAAAATAAACCCAGATTTTGTTATTCTAAAGTATCATTATATACATGATTAACAATACTGAATTCATAGCAATTCAGTTCCAGGCTCATATTGTTTATGATCGCTGTGCGATTTTGAAAATGGCAATGCTCAGAATTAAAGGTACAAATATAAAATGAAGAATAATAGGCAGCATTATTTCAAACGTAAATAAAAAAGTGAATCTGCAAGTTGTAGGGTTAATGGTACTGAGTGCACCTAAAACTTTTGAAGTAAAAATAAACAAACATTTTTTTTATTTATTTTAACTCGTGTTCACAAGAATTGTAAGTTTCCGCCATTTAGATTTTTTTTTACCCCCCCCCCCCCCTTAACCAACATACACATAATCCAACAAATGTTAATCCTGGGTTTATCTTTTGTGTAAATAATTGCGGATTATAACTCATTCATTTGTTTGTAAAATTTCCACCTTTTGATTGGTTAATATTAAAATATTTTTACTGCTAGACTGAAAAATATTTCGTGTATCCTTTATATTTTCAAAAAAGCAGTGTCATTATTGACCCAATGCAGACAGACAACCTTATAGATGCAGTGAATCAACCGAATTTCCTTTTTATTTAATGTCTATTGTGTATCGTAATTACATGTTTCATGTACCACACTTCACAATTTTTCTGTCTTTATATAAAATTTAGAAAGATAGAACAATCAAATAAATTTTCACTTCGCAGTAGTATTTAGGTAGCGTAATGTTGTAATTTAAAAAAAAATAATTTTCACATATATAATTCAAATGAATTCTACAGGCTTATCAAATGACTCTTGCATGGATTACCAGTAAATATTTTGTTTGAGAAAATAATTGTTTAAAAAAAATGAATAGATGTTGCCCGCTGTCTCCCCTTGGTGTCATAGAAAAGTGAAATGTAAAACACTCACTCATAATACTATACACCACTGATGAACCCATAATATATATAACTATTAATTAATTATTAATAATTAAAAGAGACAATGAGATGAAAGTAATGTGCATGGAAAAATATTAAATATTATACAACTATTAATCACCGTAGTAAAATTAGAGAAGAAAATCATTTAACGTTCACTCTGAAAACGTTTGACGTTGTTGAAAAACATGACGTCATTATTAACCTGTTAAAGTATATTTGATAAAAATGAAGAAAAAACCTACTTAGAGTAGACGTAGGACCATAAAAATTCATATTTGACAACTTCTAAGCTAACTCTATCAGAATCCGTGAAAAACTCAAAATGCATAAAAATTGCCATCTTCGCTAGCCGAGGGTTTCTGATACGCTCCTCTCCTCATAAACCCTTGGCATACGGTGAAGTCAAAAGACGGGATTGTTTTCCGTCACGTGATCTCGAATCTATCAGGTACGCACAGATTGCGTCATCGCCAGAAATAAAGACACGTGTTAAAAAAATTAAATCAAAGTTTTTTCAAGAATAATTAAGAAGTAATTGAGTTATGTTTATTCATTATTTATAGAACAAATATGAAGCTTCAATATAGATTCTTAAACACATATTTAGAAGATATTACATGACACCATGGCTATTCATAGAATTGAATGTTATCTTACGGATCGTTGTTTACTTGCGTTTTTCATTACCCAGATTAAAGAGTGAAGATGTATCCCGAACGCAAATATCGTCATTTACAAAAAACAATTGCTGATTGGTCGACCTGGGTGTACTGAAATCCAATCAGAATTCTGGAAAAAAATCCCGATTTCTATGAACACCGTAGGCCAAGGGTTTATGAGGAGAGTAGCGTATCAGAAACCCTTGGCTAGCGAAGATGAAAAATTGCCATAAGGACCCTCTTTACATGGGCGCAATCATATAAGTTTAGTAATATATCTAACACTAATCTTATAATCTTAGCTAAGGAACTTACCTTAATTCTTTTGTAATCTTCTCTGTTGATTTTCATCATGGCGATTTGACAGCGTTTTCTCTGTTGATATGACGTCATTTTTTACGGCATGACGTAACAGTACTCCGAGGATTTACAGAGCCCTATTAGAGTCATTATTTATATAGACATAGTAAAAAACAGGTTGTTTTAAATGAAACAAATAAGAGGGAAATTGAGATAACCTTGAATTTTAATATATTAAAGGGGAAGTTGAGAATAATCTTGAATTTTAATATATAATTTTGATAAAAATTGTGTGAAAAAACAAAAGAAAATTTACAAATAATAAGGCCGTCTAGGAGTAAGTCATAGACCCTGTCTGAGTTCTTGTCACACCCAGTGAATCACCTTGGAAAAAAAATTTCTGTTTTTATTTGTATATATATTTGTATCTCGGTAAATTTAATTATTATTTATCAGTCATTGGTGCTTACAATTTTTATAATTCTTATTGTTTCAGCTAGTGCTTCAAGCCTCAAAATCTCTGTTCTAATAAGAGAACAGGCCTCTGTATGATTGTGTAGACATACGTAGTACATCTGCTAAATATTTTCTAAAAATAAATAAATAAATAAATAAATAACCACCGTGTTGCTACAATCATTTCTTTGTGGCCGATCATACATGGAGTTAAATGTCAACATAATATAAAGAGAAATTAAAGATGAGTGAGGAAAATTGCAAATAGTGACAAAAAGGGGTGATTTTGTTCAATAATTGCTGAACATAAATTATAGATTAAACTAGAGCCGAGCTCGTTGCAAAGCAACGAGTAGGTCTTCCGTCGGAGCTGCGGACAGGGAGAAATGACCTTGGGTCAAGGTCATGCCACGTTCTAATGTAAAAGCAATCTTTTAAGGGTAGATCTCATTTTATTTATGTTTTACTATTAAAAAAGATAGTAAAGGAATGTTTGCAACCTTGACCTTGTTAAAATGACCTTACGTCACACCATGACACACGCTGGTGAAAAGCAAAGCCAATTTGTGTGCTACCGTATTGACGAATTCTTAAGCTATACTTTTTTCGATAGGCCTAGTCAAAGCTAATACGTATATACATGTGTAAATCTAGGTATGAAAGCGTTATCCTTTCTTTATCAAAAGTCATGGTCAATTTTAGGCAATGTTTAAATTTTGGAAAAGCCGGTTAAACTTCAAGGTCAAAGGGTCAAAAATCATAATGAATTTTCAAAGGCGTTGACACGGGTAATACATTACATGTTTATAAAATGAAAGCTTTCAATAGTTATGGTCAATTTAAAGTAATGTTATTTTTTAAGTAGGTCAAGCTCCAAGATCAAGGTCACGGGGTTAAAAATCACAGTTTATTTGAAAATCACATGTCACAAGTAATGCACATGTGAAATATGAAAGTCCTAATTCAACTCATTCAATAGTTATTATCAAGTTTAAAGTTCTCGTGACAGATGGACACTGTCAGACTGGTTGACACATGCGCGGATGTAGAGGGGGGGGGTCAGGACCCCCCCCCCCCTGGAATTTACCAGGTTAAAAAATGTATATACTAAAACAAGAAAAAGTTACCATGAACCCCCCCTGGAAAACGCCGACCCCCCCCCCCCCCCTGGTAAACGCAAATATGTGTGAAATGGGTATGAAAAGTGAAAGATTTGAGGCAATGAGGCAATAGAAGTCACTACTTACCCCCCGCCCCCCCCCCCCCCCATTAATGTGCCCTAATAAAAAAATACACGTTATTTGAACATGATAAATTGAGAAATACGAATAATAAAAAAATAGAAAATATTAGAAAAAATTGCGCTGAAGCTATATTCAATATCCGTGTTTTTCAACTGCTTGAATCTAAAAATATTATTTACCGTGTGTCTCTAACACATTCCTTAAATTTTTCTACAGTTAAACATTCCTTACAATCGTTTTTAATAGTACTAGTCCTTCTGAGCCTGAATTTGAGATAATATGTGTAGCACTGTAGCTATCTGGTGATCCATCTCAATTTTTTAGAACAGCTAGCGAGCTACAGATCTGCAGCTAGACAATTGTCATAAAGTTAATTTTACAAATTCATTTGAAATGTAACAGAATTGAATTTTATGAAAAGAATTATTTCTAATGCTTATTTTTAACATATGTTAAACTTATTTACCTATCAAGTTAAGTTAAGACAGTAAAAAGGAATTTGTCACTCAGTATTTATCTAAGGAATAAGTGTCAATCCTCAACCAGTGTTCGAAATTAGCGTCGGTCCGTCGGTCCTGCGCCGACGTACAAACGGAAGGACTCATGTATAGTATGACTATATGGGTCCTTGAAATGATTTTGGGCCGATGATGATTTGCCAAGAAAGAAAGCCTAAAAAATATGTTTCTTTCCTATAACCCGACCGACACTTTCAAATATTGATACCATATCTGTACCGATTTCATCTGATGCAATTTTTATGAAGAATGTTAATTGTAGCTTTGGTTGTATATAAATATGTCATCCTAGTCAACCTTCACTTAAATATGAAGAGGAATGATCATTTTTATATCATCTAGCAGTTCCTCCCTCAATTTGTTTAGCTTCGTTTTCTATCGTAAGACAGCCATGTTGGGTGTCTACTGTAAATATCCCACCCACAGGTGCTTGAGGACAGGACCCCCCCCCACCCCCCTTCATATAGACCCCTGGGCTTTTTCGATTTTTTTCTCATAAAAAATCTTTCATTGCCATATTTGTGATAAAATCTTTACCAGCAAATCGAAAAATTACCTAAAACAAACGTTCTCTTAAATCTACCCTACATTCTCTATATAAAAATCAACGTTAATTTATATATAGAGAGGGTAGAAATTTTTATAAAATGTAAGTTTAAGCAGATTTTCTGAATTGATAGAATAGATTATATCACAAATGTGTCATCCATATATAATTTATGTGAAAAAAGTCTAACAGGCCCGGGGGTCTATAAAAAAAGGGGGGGGGTCCTGTCCTCAAGCACCTGTGATCCCACCTATAGTTACTTCAGTCCTAGGACATTTGGCCCTATTTATCTGAGTATTTAGGAAAAGCGAAAATTAATGTTTTAAATGGAAAGTTTATTTATATGCTTCAATATGTGAGGTCGTACCTTAGGCAAAAAAAAAAAAAAAAATAAATAAATAAAAAAAATTACAAAAAAAAAATAAATAAAGACCCTGTTTTGGGGGGAATGTTACAAGAAACAAAAGTATGTTACAGCAATATTAACATTTTTTTAAATAGTTAAATAACCTGATTTTTTTTATATTGGTAAGGAATCGATAAACTTACCAAGATTGTGAATAATAGTTTATTTCCCTAAATATTTGATGGTATTATTTTTGGGCCTTTGTTGCCTTGGAAGGACTTGCGTAGGCCCTTTATCAGTGGGTCCTTTGGACCAACAGAAAATAATTCCGAATTTCGAACACTGTCCTCAACCTCAAAGAGCGTTCTACTTGTATGATAATTGCGTATGTGTGATAAAACTGCCGTGGACTATCCCGGACGTGAACATTAGATGTATTGGACATTCCGTATCAAGAAAATATAGCTTTACTCTGGACTATTCCGAGTTACCAAAACCTTTGTGTGTATGTCCATGTGTGAGCGTTTCAACCTGTCTTTGTTTTATGTGACTTGACTTGATTTATTTTTCAAAATACAAACTTTAACTTTTTATTGCTTGACTTTCGTTTTATAAATCATTTGTGTTACTTTCACCAATTATATTCTATTAACTTTGTTAACGTTGAATTGCTAAAAACAATAGTGTAAAAATCCAGAATGAAAATAATGAATGTAATAAATAAAATTATTAATTGTCGGAAATGCAATGCAAAATTCGGGAAATCAAATGCAGCGAAAACTGGTAGCCCCCCCCTCCCAAAAAAAAAAACAACTACACTGTAGTACATGTAGTACATGTACAGACTTCGATGCTCGATTGTATACTCTAATCGGCACAAGTTTTAGAAATTAAAACGTTTATGAATAAGAAAGTTTAGTGACGCGTACTTATCTCTGCCGACTTTTTAAAAAAAAATTATTTGACAACCTGCGAATTAAAAAAAAAGATCGCGTATGATTATTGGTTAATATTATAATAGGTTATGGATTAATCATGGATTTCAACACCAGCCCTGGCCTGCCATTCTCGACTCTGAAGGAAAGCATTGTATCATTTCAGGGGGGTTACGTATCGCAATGAGTGGAAATTTAATAATTTAATCTCTTTTAGTCTAATAAACACGAAAGAATTTAAAGGCTTGGAATATTTGTTTGAAATTACAGGAAGCAATTTTGAATTTGTAAGAAAAATTTCTAATTCTTCATTTTTTTTCTCGTATTCTTAAAGCTCATATATGTTGGGTGCTCTTCTGTGTAAAACAGCATGTACTTAGTTAATATCAAGTACATGCACATAAAATCGTGTCATTGTAATATTCTAGCTTTTTATTCGATGAAATAAAAGAAATTTATAATTTAATTTTCGATTTTCATGAGAATTGAAAACGTCACTTCCACTTACAATTTATACTGTGTGCATTTGTCATGTTTGTTTGTAATTGCTATTATAAACAACATCGCAATTTTTCCTGAAATGATTTAAGCAATTAGAATAACTTGATATAGGCCCGTATACATGTAACGATTGCAATTACTTCAAAGTTGAGAGGGAGACGACGGCGCCTAAATATGTGTATCTTTCCAATAATAGAATCATCCGTTCAAATTAAAAACAATTAAGTTGCAGTTGTGATATCCCGATTCTTTAAATAACGAAACTATATTGTACTTAACAAGTGTAGAATTCAACATTAATTTATGTACATGTGCAATTACAATCATAATCAAAATTGGCAGAGTTGTCGATAGGTCATCCTGCGTCACCTATCAATGTAACCGATGGACTCGTCCAGAGAAATCATCTGTACCTGAGTAAAAGGGGAGCGCAGCGCCTCTTATTCATTCGTCAAAGAATAGAATCAGACATTTTATCTTTTAATACTTATACATGTTCAAGAAAACCTTTATATTTGTGTCTAGAAATATTCTTACGATTTACGCAAATATTATAACAAATTCTTGATTTTAAACTCAGTAAATCGATGACTAGCATCGTTTTAGATAACTCTGGGACTCGCGTAAAAATCAAAGAGCGGTAATGTTGACCTCCGGAATGTA